ATAACAAAACTTATAAAAGTATTAAAAAATTAAAAAATTATTCAAATATTATTATTAAAAACTTAAAATTAATAAATTCATTTTCATGTAGTTTGTTTGTTAAAAATGCATGAATTTAATCTTTAGATCATTAATTGGACATTAGTGAAAACTACTAAAAAATTGGACATTAGCTAAACTACTAAAAGAAAATATCAATAATTCGAATGAAAAATTTCAACTTTTAAAATTATTTCAACCATAATCTCCTTAACAAACATAAGGAAGGTAAGAAAATTTACTTTAGTTAGCTAAAAACAAAAATTACCTACCAAAAACCGGTAGTCAAATACTTTGTGGTAACTACTATAAATAAACAGCTGATATATGAGCACATAAAATTATTACATTACTAAGATGAATAAAATTCTAACCTTTGAGAAAATGACTCTTATTCACTGTGCCCCTCGATCTACTGCAACCCAACTTCCACTACCTGAAAAATTAATATGTAAGTAGCTAAAACACTAAAGGGCGTTTAAATTGGCTCTTTACGTACAGAGAAATTTTTTTCTAATGTAACTTTCTAAAACAGGGTGTTTTGAATAAATTTTTTTTTAAACATGTAAAAATAACGGTGTTATAAAAAATATTATTCATCAAAAAATTTATTAAACAAAAAACACGATTTAATTTTAAATTGATTTGAATACGAGTGGTGTTGCGTGGTATTATGCTGCAATGTAAAAAAGCTTTACAATTTGAACATGCAAAGATTCCTTTTATCAACAAACCAATTACAATTAATTAATCAACAGCCTTTTCTTTGACTAATAATATTATTGTATAGTTGCGTACAAATGAGGTTTACTGAGAACCTTTTAATGTGTTGTTAAAAACCACATTAAACTCATTTAAAGACTTTATGAATAACTATTAATATAATGATGTCTTTAATAATTATATTAGCATTACGTGAGTAAATTTTGTCTCAAAATTTTCGTAAGTTGATTTTTGAGACAAAATATGGTTTTAATTATAATATATTATAATTATTAAAACGCAATAATTTTGGTTGAAATAATTGCTAGCAGCAATTTAAACCGCATGTATAAAATAAACTATTAAAAAATAATTGGTAATATGACAATGTTATTGAACCAGAGTACATTATATCGATCGAACTTAGCACAACTTATATATCCAAAAGTGCACCTGTTTAGTACATTTTTGGTAGTGTCATAATATTTTCATAATAATTTAAATTTTAAATACTTTTATAATATTTTGCATTATAATGCGTAATATTAAATTATCTTTAATATTATGCTCTATTGTGGTATAAATAAAAACATACTTAAGTGCCAAACATTAGTTTGTTCTTGCTTATCACATGAGAATGTTTAGAAAAAGATTGGAACAACCACCTCATTAGGCGAAGGTGTAAACTTTACAAAATTATACCTTTTAAAAAAATCATTACTAGTTTGTTGCCCTCACATTTAGAGTAGAGATGGTAAATGTTTAGGGTATTTTGTATCCAGGCTTACGTGACCAAGGTGCTTAATTTCTGTTTCTCTGGAACAATAACTTTTCTAAAAAAAAAAACAAAAAAAAACTCTTTAAATATATCTTAAATATATCTCCTAAACCTTCCGGCTCTAGATTCAGTTGCTTGTGGGACCGTAAGTTTTGCTTATACTGGCATTGCGGTAGCTAGGCCACTGATACTACATGCAAATAAAGATATTTACGTGAAAAGTTCTAAACTTTTTATGTTTTTTATAAGTCCTTACGGTCTTCGCACAGAGCACCGCTGATGAGCATTTAATTGAAAGTTCACGCCTTCTTCCTAACCAATGTCGCAAAGCATTCCAAGAAATGGGGTTTGAACCAGGGATCCTTTGTTTCTGAGGCAAGTGCACTACCACTGCGCCACGGCTGCTCAAATCTCAAAATAATTAAATATAAAAGTACCGTAGTTGTTTAAACCAAGACTTTTAGAGTCAAAGGATATTCTTGAGCAGGTGGACTTTTTTAGTATCTAAGTGGCATCAAATCTTTACAAAATTAAAGCGTCCTCTGAAAATGTTCGGGGTTTCTTATTCTTCAAGGCATGGTGTTATAGCCCCGATAATTCAGGACAAGTTTAAACTTTCTCTCCTTAGTTTTTAAATAATAAATACATTTACGCAAAAACTTGTAAAAAGGACTAACAACTATGCCAATTAATTTTCTTTCAAATAAACTACCCTTTCTGAGTCTCCCATGGGTATATGCGCCTTCTGCTAACATCCTTTTTTCAGCTTTGTCCAGACCTTTCGAACGGTTGGCCAGAGAGTGAACATTGTTGAGACGGTTTGCTCCAGAGAATGTTTACTATAGCTATCATGACCGGAACTAGAGAGTTTTAGTCATGGGCGGAACCCTATTATTGATTTTTTCAAACTTTACATGAAAGAAATATTTAAAACCGCGCAAATCGAATGTTGGGGAAAACTAAATGTCTTATGCCTTATTCCTTAAAATTTTACTTTTTTGCATTACTTTTGTACAAGATCCTGTCAAAGTTATTGTAAAATATAAGTAAATTTATTAACTTACTTTATATAAATTACTTTTAATTTACTTTACAAATTATATAAAATGTAAGTTTATGTAATTTAAACTTTATTTTATATAACTTATTTATAATAAAGATTTGTATTTACTTTTAATATAGAAAATTCCTTCTTAAAAAGTATTATTTTTTTTGTAAATTTAATTTACATTTGCTAGCATATTACTTTTATGTAATTTACTTTTTTATGTAAGTTACTTTTTAATATAATTTTTTTTAATTAGTTACTTTCAAAGGTAAATGTAAATTAACAGTTTGAGTAACTTTTATATTATGTAAAGTAATTTTCAAAAGTAATTAACTTTTAAATGTAAAAGTAAACAGCTTTTTCACGTGACTTATTTTTTCATGTAAAAGTAAATTACTTTTTGATCTAATCTTTTTTTACATAACTTACTTTTGAAAGTAAAAAAACTTACATTATAAAGTAAAAGTCGTTTCAAAAAAATTAATTACTTATACAGAAATGTAAATTTACATAAAACGTTTAAAATGATTTATGTAATTTACTTTTTGATAAAGATTGTTTTACTCGTATAAGTAGAAAAAAGTAAGTAAAAGAGCCATCCCTAGTGCACATGAGAATTAAGTAACTATGTTTGTGGATAAATTGTTCCATTTTGAGTTTCATTTTCAAAATCCACAACTGGATCCTCTTCATCAGCTTAAATAAATGTTTTTAAACCCAGGTCTTTTAACTGAGCTAAATGATTAAGGAACTAAACATACTAGCGGACAAAGACCTCTATTAAATTGAAATTGACTATGCGCCGGCTTGTTTTGTTTTACATTTTGCTTCCAATTGGTAATTTTTGAATTAATTGGTCGCTCAAAATCCTCCTATGTTTAAAAATAGCATGGCTCAGATGTTTACCGGATGATGTTGTAGCTGAAGTGGCAAAAACTTTTGATTAGTTTTTGTGTTAGCCGAAGTAATATAAACAAAGTTGTTTAGTTTTTTTCAAGATAATATTACTTTAACATTTTCTAATGATATTACTTTATTCTTTATTAATCTTATTATTTTTTAATTTAAATATTGAGCGTGTGTGCCCGAACAAAAACGAAAGTTCGGTAAAGACAGATTGGAACAGCAACGCGATAAGATGTAAAAAAAAAAAGAATTTTTTTTTTGCCCGAATTTACGCTAAATATTTTTTTACAGTTTACTTGTTTTCGCACAGCTTTTTTTTGTTTTTACATCTACTACTTACATATCTAATACCTACTTAGCGTCCACAAAGATACCAAAAGATTTCCTAAATTGTAAATTATTTGTTATTTAAAAATGATTTTTAGAAAATAAATTTTCTTTTTTATACCTCATACACAAATAACATTTACTAAACGGTTAATATCTTTTTATTTATAAAAAAAAATTGTACGAAAGTGACATGAATAAAGTGCTTGAATCTCCTTAATTAATGCAAGAAAATATTTTACTTTTATTTTAGAGTAAAGTAACGTTTTAATGCTATATTTTGATAACTTAAGATCAATATGTTCAATTAGAAAGTGATGAGAAATAAATAAAAATGTCAGCATATTTCGGACGATATAAAGTGACGTTCCCTGACGAAAAGCTAGCAAAGAGGAAGAACATGCGAAGAGTGTTGCTACATTGACTGACAAATAGCTAGATCATGCAAGAAGTGCTTCTACATCGACTGACAAATTGATCGAACATGCGCGGAGTGTTGCTACATTGATTGACAATTAGGTAGAATATGTAAGGAGTGCTGCTACAACGCCTGAGGGTTTGGTTTGGACAGGCAGCCTATCAATTAAAGAAAATTATAATCATTTTTGTAATTTTCGACATTCAATTTTTAATTATTTCGATGTTAATCATTTTATTCTAATTTTGGTCTTATACTGCTTTTAGGATTTTTGATACTATTTCTTTTTTTCACAATGTCGATTTTATTCTCTACTTCGATATTAATCCGGCTTGGTTCAGTTTGGCTGTTACTACTACCCTACTACTGTACATATCTCACACAAATGTAAAAGAAGCTTATCGCATTAACCTAACCTGGTTTGAAGGATCTTTTTTCTATTATTACCAATTCATTTCTTTTTTATAAGTTTTTCTTTAAATTTCCTTTTAAATAGATTAAAAAGTTTTCAGCGTATTGAAAAAGTAATCCAAAAGTTACAAAACGAGCAATTAATTTGTGTTTTTTATAAAAAAACCATATTAACTTATTTGTTTTGTAATTTTTATATAGTTCATTTTTTTTGTTGCCTCATAATTTAACATGACAACGAGAACGTTATGTCCCTTTTTTTTTTGCCTCTGGAAGGGTCGTTTAATATAGTTATACTAGATATGTATTTGTAATGTACTGTTTTTAATTTGTATGTACTGTTTTACCCAGGATAAAAAAACTGCAATGAATAAATAAATTTAATTTTTTCTAAGTATAAAAATATTTACAAATTTGCAAAACAATATTTACAGGTCGGATACAAAGCGCTAAATCTAATAGACATAAATTTTTTGTTTGAAAAACTTAAGTCATGCAGGTGTGCTTGGCACGAAATTTTTATTTTTTAGCCGATTAAACCATGAAACCAATTCCACGATTCAAAGTTGTATTTATAATACTAGTAGAACGCAACAGTGTGTAAAATGTTCCGCTTAAATTTTCGTTCGCATTCTTCCAATATTTCTGCAATGTCATCATCCAAGTCGTCTGGTTTTTCGAGCTAAAATTTAAAATTTATTTATGTATAACTAAAAGCATATTCTTTTGTTGTTCAAAACTTACTATGCACACACAGTTGCTGCATTAAGTTCTCACCTTTTCACAAAGCTCACAAATTTGAAATGCGCCTAAAGTTGCTTCTTCATGATTATCGGCTATTTCAATATTTATTATATGTACAGGTCTGTATGATTGAGGCTCTCGCCTATTGAACTCTATTTAAAATATAAGCTAACAATTAATGTTATTTCTAACAAAATTAAAAAAGAAAGATCAAAACACTGTTGCACAAATTACCTTCCAGAACCTGATCGTAAACTTTCTCTTCAGCAGTAATTATAATATCAAACTCCGAACTTTTATCATCCTGGAAGCGTTCGGGAGATCTTTTTATTCTTCTGTTGCGATCCAACATATGAAGAATGCCATTTTGCTTATACCTATTTTTATGTTAGTTAAGGTAAACTTGAAATCCTCATCAAATAAAAATATGAAAGTTGACTCACTGTTAGTAAATTTAAGAATAATACATTTGTCAAGAAAATGAATCAAATAAAATAAACTTCAACGACATTTTGTCATTAACGAGTAATTATAGCAGTACATCTAACTACGCAGTAGGAATAAAATTATAAGTGGGAGATAAAAAATCGCTACTTTAAAAAATTCTGTATAATCGATTTTATAACAATCATCGTAAGCTATTCTTAAAAAACCTACATAATGACAAAAATAGCTTCAAAAAAGAACACTCCTTCATCGCAACCAGTTTTCAATACTAGAAAGTAATTTTAAAACTGTTTTAAACTATAATTTTCGTTGAATTATTAAAATAACCAAAACGCATAAATTATTTAAAATATCAATATATTTCATTTTATCTGTTGGATTCAATACATGGCAAACGTTTCATCAACTTTAATTAATTATTCGATACTGATTTGATTAACTTTTCTTTTTTTTTCTTTATATTTCACAGACCACAATATATTTCTCTGCGTTTGACCCGGCGATTTCACTATTTTTCGTTAATTTGCACTTATGGAACATCATTTAATTCAAAAATGTTTTTAATTAGAAGTCAAAACTGAATCAAAAAATTTTTAAGATTCAAAATAATTTTAATCTAACTAAAAGATAAATATAAAAACCATTCATTCTCAGAAATTGCGATAAATTGTTACAATTTTATTGTATTTTACAAATCAGCATGTTGTACGCTCTTTTTTTGTAGTAAATAACAATAATAAATAACAATCTTTCTAAGAAACCGTATCTACTCCAAAAAAGAATGGAAGAGATAGCAAAATAAATATTTATTAGCTGACTCAGCTGAGCTTCCTTTGAAAACGCGTAGTTTTAATAAAAACATCCGAGTCTCAAAAACAACAAAAAAGAATAAGACCATACTTGTACGATAAAAGCAAAGCAAAGTGAAATTTATTCTTACTTAAAAACGGCGCGAAAAGATGTTTATCGTTTCTGTCAAACCGAACATACAAGTGAGTGCGAGCGGTGACTTAAAAGTAGTTTGAAAATACGAAGTTTTTATTAATAAAAGTAGTATAATGATAAAGTTTTTAAACTCGAGAATTTCTAACTTAAACTACTTTGACCAACTCGAGCAAACCTTAAATTAAAAAGGTTCTTAAAATTGAAAGTTAGAAGTTGGGGTGGATCCAGACCATCCAGCAAGATTGTAGGATTTGTTAGTCTTAGACAAGAACACAAATTATAATTTAATTTCATATTATTTTTAAACAGTCGCCTAATAGGCCTAACTTAGTTTCATTTTCAAACAATGTTGTGAAAAAAGTATACAGAAAAAAAAATGGAAAAAGGGATGGGGGGGGGGGAACCTACAACCATACGGATCTGCCCTTGGTTACAAGAATAGGCATAGAAGAGAAGGCTTAAAAGAATTTAGAAAGAAATTACGAGGAATACAATCACACAAACTACTCTTCATAAAGTACGAGCCTTAATAATTACGAGACTAAAATATGACAAAAGTTATGAACAGAATAAAAATCCTGACAAAATTATTTTATTCTAACCTCATCGAAAAAAACTAAAAAAAAAAAACTAAAGAATAAAAAGTTACAGTAAAACCATTCGTTCAAATCAGGAATTACAAACGCTGCAATAATTTTCAGTCTTATTATAACCCAAACAATTATAGGATACGTCTTCTAAAAAGTAACTAAGTGGTAAAAATATATTAGCGATTCATCCTTTTAATAAAATTTTTTGCCATTTGATTATGTAGAACTAATATTGTTACTAAACTAATTTCGATAAGCATATCTAAAAGTAAACGCATGGCCCAGACCCCGAGGTATTAGGGCCAACGAAAATTTTTTGCCCATTTAAAAAAAAAGGACTGGAAGGATCAGATAGTACAACTAGCAGTAACGGGAGCCAAGTTGGATAAAGGTGGAAAAACCACGTCAAAGACAATTGCCTGAAAAATAAATCCGCTTGAATAATTAAAAAATTAACTAAGAACTCACAAAAGCATTATTATTAAGTTAAAAAAAAAACAACGATATGCTTATTACTAACGCAAATAATTTTAAATAACAAATGCAAAACAATATATTAGTAGCTGCATCGGTAAGAAGCATTTTTACGTCAAAATCACGACGTTTACGAATATCCGACTATGTCATATAGTTATAACATAGTCGGATATTCGTAAACGTTATATATCCGAATATGTTAATATTTAAAGTGTTGTAAACTATTCATATTTTATAATACTAAAGGTGTACATTTTTTAAACCTAATCTTAAAATATTTAAACATTTTTATATTTCTATAACGTGAATCTATTAACTAATAGTAATCTTAAAGAACTAAAATAATAGTCTAAAAATTTAAAACAAAATTATAACAAAAAAAAAAAAATTTAGACTGGAACTAAAAAAAATGGAAGCTCAGAAATGTAAGATTAGTTCTTTTCAAGAACCTTTTAACTTTGATTATTAAACATTTTAAGATATATATAAGATATGTATAAGGCATATATAAACGTCGATATTATTAATAATAGTTAAAACATTCCTTTTGGCCTAAAACGTTACTAGAACATGCATCAATTGTTATGCCATCGCTTAACTTTATGCTATCACAATAAAACAATAACTACAAGTTAAATCAAACATGTTATGGTCATATAAATAATTTATAGAGCATATTACGCGTATATTTGATATCAAGGAGTTAAACATTAATAGACAGTATCAATTTGTTACTTACAAAACTATCTAGCAACTTGATCCGTGTCTTTAGTAAAAACAAGTAAAGCTTTCCAATTTAACTAACCTTTTTTTAACAATTTCGATTTAATTAACATTAAAGCGTAGACCAGCTTTATATGGTGGTCAAAATAAACGATTCTTAGGCATGAAGAAGTTTAATCTATTTTAATTTCATACATAAGTTCGGAAAAAAACAGAAAAAAACAACGTCTTTAGCCTTCCAGTCCCCATAGTTTTGGTGTGACGCCAATACTATGGGAATGGAATCCATGTCAAATTACATGTTCGATCTGGTTTACACAAGGTATAATTCAAAAATAAGAAAAACAAGCCCATAGTGGAATATAGATAATAAATTTTGACATTTCGTTAGCAACCAGGACGCGATCCCCGTAATTACAAGGCATTTTAGTTCCATACCGAAATAAGATCAAATTGTCGACTAAAAAATGACATAATTTAGACTATTTGTATAAAAGAGTCTAACTCACCTTAGAAACATTTAATGGGTGACTTTAAAATCAGTCACAATTAATGCTCATTCAACAACTTGATTTGATACCTATTAGTGTCATTTTATACGCAAAATCAAGATAACATACGAAGCCGTAGCGTTTAACCGCTACAAATAAATAATTCATACATAATTTGACTTACCATTGTACACAAATACAAAAAGGACTAAATTTTATTTGATATAATAGCGCAATAACAACCGTAAATATGATTTATAGTAACTTTAAAGATAAGTGATAACCGCATTTGTATTTTTCGAATGTGAAACGAAGTACAAATCTAGGAAATAACGAAAAGAAACAAGTGTTCGTAGTAATATTTCTGTGTCATTTAGGCATAAAATATACCTATATTTTTTATAAAACATACCATCTATTCTTATTGAAAAAAGAATCTAAAAAAATTGATATTGATGATATTTTTTTGGAAAAAAAAACCTAATTGACTAAGTATACCAAAAATTTCAAGATTGCTCGAATAAGTTACCCCTTAGCCCCAGTGGCGTAGGAAGGTTTTTAAATATTTAATAACCAACAAGAATGTAGCAAATTTTTTAAAGTCATATCTATGACGAAAAAATTCTTTCAAAAAAAAAAAAAAATTACTATATGAGAACAGCAACAAAAGAAACCTAAAATCTTAGCCCCCCCTGCCCCAAACGTGAGAGAAACAAGTTGATGAAATATGTTTTGTACTATTTTTATCTAGACTAGTATTTATCGAGAAGTTTTTAATTCCATATAAAAATATTCTAGTGTTTAAATGTTATGACCATAAAGCTTGCAACCCCCTCTAAGTAAGAGGGAGGGGCCTAAGATATAGGGTTTTTGTTCCCGTTCTCCTTTCACAGTAATTTTTTTAAAAGAATTTTTCGTCATACATATGAACGTAAAAAAAAATTTGGAATAATCTTGTTTATAAGTTGTTTATTACAAACAATAAAAAACCTTACTACGCTACTGCTTGGCTAGACAGAATTACTTCGTATATTGATTATATTTCATAAATTACAGTTGATTTAAGTGTACAAGGAAAAATATTAAAAGATAAATTTAAAAATGATCATGACAACTTTAGCACTGAAACTGCAGAAATAATGTCACTAATAAATGTAGTGTTAATCCCTTCAGCAATAGTGAAGTTTTTTGTGTAATAAACATGAAAATCTTTCTTTAGATACTTGTTACATGTATTTATATTACATATATATATATGTATGTGTATGTATATATTCATATATATTTATATATTTTAAGATATATATATATTCATAATACAATAAGTAGCTAAGTAAACTTTTATTCTAATTTAAGATGAAGACGTTTTTTAAAACCTAGTCAGGCGCTTTTAGAACCAATTATACGGAAATATATATGTATAAATAGATATATGATATATTAAGTAATAAAATACAGCAAAATCTTGCTCAAATTAAAACTAATTTTACTTAATATAATAAAAAGTGTTGTTTTACTTTTAACGTGGCAGTGCTTTTGTTACACAATGATCAAGAATCGGAAGGAAAGCTGAAGGAAAAAATTTAAATTTGCTGAAGAAAAAAAATCTATACGGATGGAAACTTATTTATCATGGAAATATCAAACAGATGGAAGCAGCATTGAAATTCTTCGGAACTATATGCTCGTAACCTTTTGTTTCGTAATCAATAAGAAAACGACATTAAGACTGTACTTAAACGCCTAATTTTAAAACAATTTAACGTTTATAATAAATTAAAATCATAGAACTTTGAAGGTTCATCAATAACATTCTAGAAAAACATTAAAAATGGCGCAACAAAACTGCAAACAACAACTTTTTTATAAACTTCATATTAAATGGAGTACTACAAAAGTGAATGGAGTTATGATATACAGCTAATAAAACTTAAATTATTTGGAAAACAATTTTTTGGATTTTTAAAAAATTGCTTCAGTTATCTTTTTTTATCAAATTTTGTGTTAAAACTTTTAGCAAGAAAAGAAGCTTAAACTAACATATACTTTTAAGCCAAGTGGTTCTATTTAAATATCGAGTTTCAATAAACCTTATGCTGAATCATTGCAATTACTTAAGGTTAAAAATTTGCAGCATATCCCTAGAATAATTTATTTTTAAACGTTTAAAAGATCGTTTCGGTGAATTTGGTTGTTCTTTTATCCAGTGAAACTTGTTTTTTTTTTTTTTTTTTAAACGGTTACAAGCATACTCCCGAGACGACTGGAAATTGCTTAGATGTTTGCGGCTAGATGAACTTCCATGGATGAACTAAATAAAAAGCTTCTTAAAAATATTAAAGGTTTACTTCGCGCAACTACTTTACTTATAAATAAATGATAAACATCCAAAAATAGAAATGTTACTTTAGCTTAACTTAGTATTATTACTATTATTAACTTTAATGATGGTTGCGAATCGAAACATACATTTTCAAAAATTAGATCAGTAGGTCAGAGTAAAAAGTAATATTTATTCAAGATTACCATATTACTAGAATAGATAAAACTTACTGAATAAATATTTTTAGTGTACATATATAACAACTCGCCAGGCGATTAATGAATATTGGTTAATAGCCTTTTGGAGCAATTAGAGCATTTCGGTGAAGAATATTCACCTACCAAACGAGCAACCAAGTTACAAAACTATTATAATGAGAATTCAATTAATACTTTTTTTCAATAATGCAGTTTTCTTTCACGAAATGAATCTTTTTAATAAAACATTTTTGTAGTTAATGTCACTCACTCACTTTTCTAAATATTTACTGTTTTAGTTACGTAAATTATTACCACGCTTTTCGCTAACTACTATTCTTATTTAACTTAGTGTAATTAAGTAGATAAATCAGATTATTTGAAATATTAGTATAAATAAATTAGAAAATTTGGTATAATTTAGACAGTAAGCGTACATAAAATGTCATTTCACATTAAACTTAAAATAGTATAATACATTTACTCAAATATGGTATATCTATTATACTATTTCCAGATTTAAGGAAACCTATCGCTATGAAAAGTCAATAAAATTATCGAACTTATTCGATGTAAGTTTAATAGTTTTATAAATTGTGATCACACTGTCAGACAAAGCAGAATTACATTTTTAAAGTGCACTTATGCATAAGAAATATGGATTAAATTTTGCAAGCGAGAGTGAAATTTTAACCGCAGTTATAATTATTAAACGTTTAAAAAATCAATACAATGTCAGGATAGGATTATCACACTTATCGGATAACAGAGATTATTACAGAAAAAAATTTAAGTAAAAATGGGTTGGGAATTAACGCAGTGAGCATATTAATCTGCCTAGAAAACACTTAAGTACACTTTAAATTTAAAACGCCTTTTGTTTTATATCTATTAAAATTATTTATAATTAAAATAGCATGGGCAATAATGCGGAGGAAAGTAGCATTTCACCATAGAAATTTCAGCACTAAAGACTAGAAAGGCTTTTAAAATTTTTAACTCAAATGTATTCAACTATTGATAAGGCTGCATGCGAATAGAATATGTAAAATAAAAGCACATTTACGCTAAACTTCATACAAATCGACGAAGCTATAAACAAATCTTTAAAATTGTCTTTCTTAAAAGGAAGACTTACTTAAATAAACATGTATATCCGTCGGTTTTGACTAGAACAATAACTGTCCAACATCTAGAGTTATTGTCCTAAAATCAGCAAGAAGGTAATCGCTTTTCTATTTGGAAATCTTCTGAAACTCACTTTATAGATGATCGTGACTCAACGTTAGCCTGTGCAAAACTACTTTCGGAGTGATTAACCAGTTCGACTTTTTCGCTTTATCTTCAGTTCAATTTTGAAATAAATTAGTTCAACTTAAATTAAAAAATGAATAATAAAAAAATATTTAAACTAAAATTTTCTTATTTATACGCCGCAAATACTTATTACATTAAAAGCTGTTTGTTCGAAAAAGTAAAGTAAATAAAAAACACTGGCGTTACTACAACTGTAATACATAATTTATAAAACAAAATACAATAAAAAGGGCAAAGACCTTAAAAGACGTCAGTTTAATCGGATACAAGATAAAAGCATAAGTTAAATAATACACTAAGGTCGAAAACAAATTTATTCATACCTTTTAAAATAGATTACTCTAATTTCAAAACTGTTATTCATAACCAGATCAGATATCACCATGAAATCAAAACTCCACACTTATGAGTTATATGCTATTAATAGTCCTCAAATATACTATCCAGTTTTTGAACGATTTAAAGCGTTTAAAACATCTTCAAGTAACAAATGTACAAAAACACTAACTGATATCATTGTATCAACAAATGTAATTTTTTTTGCTGAATACAAGACTACCTCCTAATAAGTATAATACCATAACTTAAAAAATAGCAGCAAATAACTATATGTAATGAACGCAACAAGAAGTGACTTATAGTTCTCCTCTATTACACCTGTAAAAATAGCCATGTTGAATAAAAAAAAGAGGAAAACATGTCCATGCTACTAACAATTGATTAAAGTTGTCCCTTGGATTTAGTAAAGCAAACTATAACTAGGTCACTACTGTATTATATAGATTGTAAAACTATTTAAAATATTTTTAAGTAAACTACAGTTTTAAAAATTATTTACAAATATCTTATTAAAAAAACCCTGTGAGTTGTAATCAAAAACAAGTAAATTCATATTTGCACATGACATGATTCCACCACATTTCATGTGTAACAAATTTCTTCGCTTTGTACTTCTTAAAATTGGAATGAACTTGATAAGACATTGAAAAAATACTTTAAAAACCAAATACACAACCTATACTACTGAAAAAAAATAATTAATATAACATTTAATATTAAGATACAGCATATATTTTTTTAAATTAAAAAGCTGAACTATTAAACTAAACAACTGAATTGGATACAGTATAGGATCTTTACGAGCAAGATCTTGATACATTTGATCATAAGGTGTATTAAAATGATATATGTTTGGTTTATCAGCAGTAGGTCCAGGTAACTTCACATATGATCCAGAACCATAAGAACGTACATTAAAACCTCGTTTGCTATATATAAAAAAAATAAAAAATCTGATTAATGGTTTACTACAAGTAACCAGGGACCATGGCTGGGAATAGTACAATTTAGGTAGGCTGAATAAGTAAAATGTAAAACAAATTTTTAAAACCTTATGTTTTTATGTTATAAAAACACACATTTTGCAATCAATTTTTTCTGATATTACTATTTTATTACTATTCGACTGTGTTAGAAAAAAACAAAAATACAGGAACAGGCGGGTCTCAAACCAGACATTTTATTTACGAAGTCAATGCCTTATCCAAATAAGCTAAACATGCATGTAAGTAGGAACAAATAATACATAAATTTTTAAAATTATTATTCTTATCCATATAAAAAAATAAACTTAATTAAAATTAAGTAAATTAATTGCTTTATTGAAAAACTAGTTATTGATTATTGCATTGCCATCAAGCAAGGTTAAGTATTCAAAATTTAAAGAAAGTCTATCATCAGTAAGTGCCTTTAAAATTAATTGCAAGATTTGATGAATCTTAAAAATTAGCATCAAAAGGTCCTGCTGAAAATTTGAAAACTATCTTCTAAAAACACATCAGACACCAGAAGTCTAGACAAATTTTTAATGAAAAGAATAGCCAAGGCAATAAAAGTAACTTTTTTTTTTTTGCATTTGTAATTTTTTATTAGTTAAATAGAAAAACACTCAAGAGGTTTGAAATAAAATTTTTTGATATCTGATTTGAAAAATAAACTCAAAATAAGCTTAATTAGGATTTAGATTTTAGAAAGAGAGGAAGAAAAAAAAAATAATAATGATTGCTGCTCTAGCCCAAACCGTCAGTTGATGCAGCAATACTATTTTGCAGCACCATGCCATAAGATAATACATAAACTGTTTATATTTAAAGAAATGCTTAGGAAATTCTGAAACAAACTTTAAGCAGGACTTATTTAACTAAAAACAAAATTTTGGAGAACATAAATAGTACTGACATTTTCTAACTTGAATATCTACGATGTGATGTTACTAAATATTTAAAATGTAATTTACAATATTAAATTGTGATTTTGTTCTTATTTCCTAAAAAAAATTAATATAACACTTTTGCACTTAGTTTTTACAGGCATCTAGATTTGTTTTTTCATCAAGATTATACTAAATTATAGATTATATATCTACATGTAAAATGTTCTAAAGATTATTTGAGTGAGAGAAATATTTTTTATTTTAATATTAAATTTGTTACTAGTTTAAAATATTATAATGTAAATACATCTTTTGTCTCTAAAAAACATTAACCTTTTGTCCCAAATTGTGTCATTTTAGCAAGTTAACCTTATGTCTATTCTTATTACCGAAAACAAATATCAGTTATAAATGGTTTTCAGATTTTATATACTAAATGTATAATCCAATAATCATACAGTTAGACGGCCTCATATAATTTGTTTTGTTTGCTTATTGCACAGTATTATCTTATAGAGACTTTTTAAACATAAAGGAATATTGGCTTGCACATATTGACTTCAGTGACACTAGGACATCGTCGACATGTCGACTACATCGACATGTAGGATAACCAGATAATACTTAGTAATTTACTTGGGCACTCTTGCTTGTTAAATTACTATATAGGATAATACTCCAGTTTAGCAGCCTAAAATAATTTTACTCTGGCACTCTTGTTTGCAGAGAGTTGAAAATATCTTTAAATAACAATAATTACAGTTGTTTCTGTATATGTATTTTTTTGTAATTAATGAATATTCTAATATTTGTATAAATATATACTATTATTATTTATTACTTTATTTAAATGTATTATATACTCTTTACAATTGTTTGTTTTACCATTTTGTTACTATTTCTTTCAAAAATAACAAAATTTAAGATATAGCCTAAAAGTTAAACTAATTATAATAGACAATTAAATGTTGCGTTATGATAAAGAAGACAAGGTCTCACAAAAATTTTTTTATTACTTCACAAATTTTTTTATTTTTCATTCAAATTTCCTCCTGAATACAAATAAATTAGGGTAATACTCTACAGTTAGGCTGCCATAAATAAAGTTATTTTTGTGCTCTCAAATATAGAGATTTTACAATCATCTTAAAATATTACAAATATTATAATTTTATTGTACTCTTTTCTTTTTGATAAATTACTATTATCGCAAATACTTGAGTTATCATTATCATTATAAATATTTATATTTTTTAATAATATTCATTATTATCTTATTGAATGTTGTGTTTTTACCCCTTTTATAAAAAGAAAATTTAATCTACTTTAGGCCACTTAACTGTAGCTATTACCCAATATAGTTACCAACAATGATAGAATTCAAAAAATACGTCAAATATATCTAATAAACAGATTTACACAATCACTTTTATATGCAATTTACTTTATGTTTAAACTTAAACAGAAAATAAAAGTATTAATGAATAAAAGTGATTTTATGCTATACTTCTTACAATAATAAAATACATAAAGAAACTCAAAATTCTTTGCAGAAATGAAACTATAATTTAAAACAAGGAAAACACATAAATTGACATTAACAACCTCAAAACACCGTGAGCTTCCATACTTCGGTTTTGGTTACTACTACACGTCACCGCAATTTTCAAGTCTTTTGATCTCTTCATTGTTTTTTCAAGCACCATCACTATTTCTCGAATATAATTTTAGATCTTTTTACAAACACAACGCCTTCCACACAAAATTTCGTTATATAACACGTAACAGGAAAGAAAAGTAAAAAAAAACGATTAAAGAACTGCATTGTGGGTCCCAGGGGGTAGCTAACAAAAGTGTTAATATAAATATTCTCTAGAAAAATTTTCAAAAATTTTCTAGAGAAAATTTAATTATTTTTTATTAAATATACAAATTAACTAACTATTAATAATGTATTTTGTAATCAAGCGAAATAGTTATAATAAATAGTTGTATTTTATGACTTTTTTTTGACCGTCAGATTTTTTATCAAGTTACTTCGGATAATTTTATATTTTTTAAAAATCAAAATGGCTGACAAGCGAATCAGTAAGAAAAAGAAAAAAGCAAGTCATTAAATTGAAGAGACTTTATTAAAACAAATATAATTCCTATGTTTCTACCTATCCTTTTAATTTTTTAAATAATTACAATAATAAAATTTCAAAAGTTGCTCTTTGATTTAAGATGTGAATAATGTTGAAAATAATATTTATAGGGGGCAATTGATGAAAATATAAAGCCTACGTCTGAAGAAGAGAGTATCGCAAAGCACTTAAGATTTAATCTTGAAACAAAGAAAGCTACTATGTATGGTGATGAAGCTTTTTACTTTTTTGGTGAGCTTTTTTTAGAATGGATTTTAATATATTTTTATGAATAATATGTATTTTATGTTATAATATACCCCTCCCCCTCTTTTTTTTTTTTTTTTTTTGTCATGAGTAATTATAAGAACTTTATGTTAATTAGTAAACTTATGAAAACGTAGATCTAAAATCAAAACTAAAGTACTCTACTTTAAAATTAAATTTTTGTGATATTATTGTTTACAGTACTTTTTTTTAAAAGTACTGTAAACATTAATATCACACGGCTGTTTCAAGGTTGACATACAGCTACTTTTTAATTTAAATTATCTACTTAAGGGGTGTTACTAAAACTTTTATAACTTTTAAACTATCACAGATATTTTTTTCTGTATAAAGAATATAAACAATAAAATGATTTATCTTTTTAACAAATTCAAAAAAAGATCAAAACTTTCTTTGATTTTTGAATAAACACACAAAAATAATAAACTTAACTGATTTTGAAAAAATTAGTGTTACTTTTCAGCAAAAATAATCAAAAAATATATATGTTTCTATTGTTTAATATATAATATAATCATTCTTAGACCAAAAAGTTTGGTACTTAAAATTTTGATGATCACCTTTCAAATACTGCATTCAATATTCAAAGACCTTTTCAATGATATATAAGTATTTAATCAATTTAAAAATTTCATGTCATATAACTAATATATAAACGACTGGATGTGGGTTCTATCCTTTTAACAGATCCTAATAGACATTAGAAAATATCAAAGTTTCAAACTTTTTAATATTAAAATTTCAAAGTAATTAAGCTCAAATTAAATGAATTTAAAACTTCGATTTTTTATAAATTCTTTTAAACGAAACACTTTATAATAAGATAAATAAAAATAACTAAATACAGTTAAAGAAAAATAAAACAGTCAGCCAAACATTTTAAAAGCTGCAAGTTCAGAAAGTGCAATTAATAGACTTGATTCAAAGCACTTATATACAGTTAAAAACTAGATAAATACAAGTTTGTTATTAAAGTGGGCAAGCCCAAATCTATTTTACGGTTATAAATAATATGACTTTTTTATTTTTGTATTTTATTTTGACTGACCCCAGCATGTCTGTTTGATTTTAATTATTATTATTTGGCGTAATCCTCTTTTTTAGGATCAAAAGCTGTTGATTTTCTGTTAGATTCAAAATGGGCGAAGGGAGACTCAAAATTATCTGTGCAATTTACTCACCGTGAGTCTGTTGTTGCTTTCCTAACCAAGTAATTTAAAATTAGTTTTTATGTTTTCAACTTGATATATATTTTGAAAAATCGTCTTTGCTATTTACTGATTTAGGTCTACATGAAACTGACACCATATTGAAATAGGGATAAGTGAATTCAGTATATTCATGTACTGAAGCTCCAACATATTATACCTATTATATCTGTTTTTACTATGTATTTACTTATAGTTTCATAGATTTTTATTTATTTGTCTGCAAATTTAACTTTTTTATGTAACAATATTTCATAATAAATATAACCATGCCCTATTCCAAACCTATAAGTTCATCCAATAAGTACATTTCTCTACTTTGTCTATTCCTATTTTACTATGGCATCACCATGTCTGCAGTATTCAATTTTGAAAGTCTATATATATATATACAGGCTTGGCCAGGAAGCCGTTCGATTTCACGTCATAATATGACCACGTAAGTACTATTTGATTTTACTTAACTTGACCATGGCTGTTAATATGTTTTGAAAATTCGTATATGTTTTAAAAACGCGCTAAAAAATTATCTTAACTATAAAAAAACTTAAAAAAAACTTATCGTAAAAGAAGCAAAATAAATCTTGGTAAAAAAATAAAAAAACAAAAACAGAAAAAAAATTACTAAAATAGCAGAAATAAAATTAAAACTCAACTAAATTAAATAACAAGCTATAACGATAAGATAATCTAAATTACGCTTGGAATAAATAACTTTAAACCGTTTATCTTTACTAATGCTTTTTTAATATAATTATGAGAGTTATGCGAAACGCTTTTTAAATAAAGTAACAACTAATAACTGACGATTGCTTAATAAACGCGCACATTCAAAAGTTTAAAAAAAGATTCTTAATTCTTCGCACTAAAGAAAAAATAATTAATTGTTTATTTAAAATTTTGATTTAATTTTTTTTTTATTTAAAAACATTTATAATAAAAAATGAATACTTTAAAAAAAATATATATGTTTTTATAAAAAATCATTAGCTGTGACTTGTTACTTTATTTAAATTCAATAAAATAAAAAAGTAAATAAAGTTTTTTTTCAAAAAAACTTTTTTGAAAAAAAACTTTTTTTTTTTCTCAAAAAAAACTTCAATGAATCTTGTATGAAGTCTATTAGAGACCTTCGCTTATTTAAGTCTAAAATTTAAAAAAAAAAAATTTTTAATAACTTTTACTTTTTTTATTTTTACTTATAAAAAAATCCTATATAATTAAATAATATAAATAAAGAAATATACAACTTTCAATAATAATTAAAATCTTTATTTAAAAGCATTTTGCTAATATAAAAACGTTAGTAAAGATAAACGCGTCAATTTATTTTCAACTTAATTAAAAAACCATTTTTTTAATGTTTGTTAAAAGCCTTGGTTAAATCATCATAGCAAAATATTATTTGCGTAGTCACATAAAGACTTGAAATCGTACGCCTTTCTGGCCAAGCCTGTATGTATATGTATATATATATATATATATATATATATATATATATATATATATATATATATATATATATATATATATATATATACACACACTTACAAAAGCGTGTTTTGATAAGCATTTGCTCACTTTTTGTGCTTACTTCAAGGTAAACCGTTTTTTTCGAAAAAGAAGAAGAAAAAAACGAAGAATGATAAATAAAACGATTGCTTCCCCATCCCAAACCCTCAGTCGATGTAGCAGCACTTCACTGCGAGTCAGGCTATTTGTCAGTCGTTGTATGTACTGAAGCCCCCAGCAGCCGGCTATTTCAGTATGACGTCAGATTGCTTACCAAAGTACGCAATACTATTTGTGTATATATATATATATATATATATATATATATATATATATATATATATATATATATATATATATACATATATACATTCATACATACATACATACATACATACAGGCTTGGCCAGAAAGGCATACGTATATATATATATATATATATATATATATATATATATATATATATATATATATATATATATATATATATATATATGTATATGTATATATATATATTTATATATTTGTTAAACAAATATATATATGTATGTAAATATATATATATATATATATATATATATATATATATATATATATATATATATATATATATATATATATATATATATATATCACTTGGATATTTTTTTTTATTTAAATCTTCTTATTTTTAATATTTCCTTTTTTTTACTTTTTTATTTTAAAAATAAAACATTTTTATAATAAAATTCTTTTATTATAAAAATGTTTTTTACATTTATTTTTTTTGTTACTTTTATCCAATTATTATCAATTATTATCTTAAAAATATTTCATATTTTTATTCATTTACTTACAAAAACAAATATTTGTAGAAATATAACAATTGTTAAACCTAACCTTAAGCCTGCTCCAAACCAAATCTCTAGTCAATGTAGCAGCACTTCCTTGCATATTTTACTTATTTTACGTGTATTTTTCCTGAAAGTTGTTTATGAGAACCTTTTTTTTTTTACAAAAAACACATACTTAGAACATAGGAAGTGATTAGGGCCCTGGCCAAATATGAGGTTTTTTACAACCCCGGCCCCAGCTAATCAATAATTCTAGCAGGGGTTATTAGCTGTGGCTAAGATATTTTATTATATATATATATATATATATATATATATATATATATATATATATATATATATATATATATATATATATATATATACAGGCCTTGTTTTAAATAAAAAAGTGCTTAACGCATTAGCTTAACGCGATTTTGACGTCATAAAATTATCTTTATTTTTTTTTATAGACGTTAAGTGTTTTAACTACCGCAATAAATAAATAACCGCAAACTATTTCAATTTAACAATTAACTTAAATATAATATAAACGTTTTAAATATAAATTTTTTATGAAAATTTTGTAATGTTTTCAATAGTTATTTTATTATTAATTTTAGTTCATTATTATTTAGTAATATATATATATATATATATATATATATATATATATATATATATATATATATATATATATATATATATATATATATATATATATATATATATATATATATATATATATATATTAATTATTTCTGAAATTTGTTTTTGAATAATTGTTTTTAATCGTTATTGAATAAAAAATAATAATGATTTTTTTTATTTTTAATAATTTCTAGAGTAAACAAAAAATATTAACATTGATAAACGCAAACCCATGTTAATTACTAAACAACGATTTTGTTTCGACTAACAAAGAAAAATTTAAGTTTTTAAATATTTTTTAAATTTTTAAAAGCGTTCAAAAGCGTTTAAAAGCGTTCAAACTTGCGTTTTATAAAAATATAAAAAAGTTTTGTCTGCTTTGTGCATATTTTTGATACGTAGTTTAGAACGCGTTCGCTAGGAATTTAATTCATAAACTTTTTATGTTATTGTAAAAATATTTAACTTTTTAAACAAATCACAAAGAAACAGAGCTATAGAGGAACATCGTTTTCAACGATTAAATCTTTTTTTTTTTTAATTTTAGGAAATTAAAAAAAAAATTAAATTAAATATAAATGTCTTAACTATGCAAACTCTTTTGTTAATTATTCTTAAAACAAAAAAAAACAAATACTTCTACGCCAAACTTTAATCGTGCAAACTTAAAAAAATACTCAACTGAAATAATTTAAGTATATTTAATAATTTGAATCGTATCTGTTTATAATAAACGTTCGTAAAAATTTGTTTATTAAAAATTAAGTTCTTTAACTTATAAACAAACTCAAAAGTATTTTCATTCTACGTATAATTACAAAACTCTTTTTTTTTTCGTTTGAAAGCAATTTAACTTAATAAAATAAAAAAAAGAATAAATATGAGGTAATCTTTGTTAAGAATAACGTTAATTTATTTATTGAACTATATTTTTATTTTTAATTATATATCAACTTAATTAAAATATAGTAACATGTTAAAATATTTTAACATGACTTGTATTATTTATAAACCGTTGGGCAGTTGCCCTTACGGCACTATTGTTTTTGGATAATATTTTATTTTGATGAAGATCACATAACTTACATTTGATTTTAATAACGTAAGTCTTCTCTTTTTCTGTGATCATCGCATCGGCAAAGTCCCAAGATTTAAAAGTTTTTAAAGTAAATCTTTTGTCCTTCAAAATACAATCCATATTCGAACTTTAAACAATTTAGAGATAATAGAAATATACAAGGTTTTTATATACTAGTTTGTTTTGTTTTATAAAGAAAAATACATAATCATTAGTAAAAAATGGAGACTGTCATTAAACTAAAACGTGCCTTAGTATTTATTTAACGGAACCTGTAATGTGCGCGTGCATAATAAAACCTCCGTTATATAAATATATTCAACGTAATATTAGTGTCATCAGCGGATGTTGTAGTCTACTCATGATTTCTTTACCTTATATTATAACTTGATTTATGAAAAAAAAAACTTATTGAATCGCACGCAGAAGAATTTTAACAAATTGTCTTCATTCAAATATTGCGAGTAACAGGTAATTTTTTTTTTCTGTGCCGACCCCCTCCCCCCGCATAACTTAAATTATATACTAATAAACTAATAAGAAAAGCTATATACTATTAAACTAACTATAAGCTATATACTATTAAACTAATAAGAAAAGCAAAGACATTTTTTTTAACATCTCGAAAAAATGTCTTGATATTTTTGTTATCATGATAACAAAAATATTAAGACATTTTTTGAGATTTTATTAAAAAAAAATGTCAATTCTTAATTACAAATTTTTTTGCAAATGTTTTTTATTATAAATTCAGTAAAAAATTCATAAAAAATCTATTATTACAAAAAACTTTTATATTCTGTATTAATAAATATGTAATATAGATTTTTTAAAAGTTTTTTTACTAAAAACTTTAAAAAATTACTACTTTTTATTAAAAACATTGCAAAAAATTTGTAGTTAAAGATTGACAAACAATTTTTCATGTTGCTAAATATTTGGATAAAAA